TATCATTCAAAATTGAAGGTGAAATAAAGAGCTTTCCAAACAAACAAACAAAAAAAGTGTAAAGAAATTTACTACTACCAAACCAGCACTGCAAGAAGTGCTAAAGGGACTATTGTAAGAAGAAAAAGAAAGAAAAAGACAGAGAGGAACACAATCATAAAGAATAAAAGTGGCAACAAATAATAAGCTATCAATAATGATCTTAAATGTAAGTGGCTTAAATGCTCCAATCAAAAGATATAGGGTAGCTGATTGGATAAGAAAACATGACCAATATATGCTGTCTACATGAGACACACCTCAGAACAAAAGACTCACGTAGAATGATGGCAAAGGGATAAAAAAAATGTTCCAGGCAAATGAAAAGAAAAAAAAAAAAAAAAACTGGTGTAGCAATACTCATATCTGATGAGATAAAGACTTCAAAATGTGGGCCTTATTAAGAGACAAAGAAGGCCACTACATAATACTAAAATGTATAATGCAACAAGAGGATATAACCCTGGTAAACATATATACACTGAATACAGGAACATCCAATATATTTAAATACTGCTGGAGGACTTCAAGGGAGAGATCTACAGCAATACAATTATAGTTGGGGAGTTTAACACCCCACTGACACCAATGAATACATCTTTCAGGCAAAAAGCTAATGAGCAAACAGAGACACTAAACAATGAACTAGATCAGCTGGATTTAATTGACATTTACAAAACATTTCACCCAAAAGCTGAAGAATATACATTCTTTTCAAGTCATTCTTAAAGACTACATACTAGAATACAAACGAAGTCTCTATAAGTTCAAGAAGATTGAAATCATATCAAGCATGTTCTCCAAATACAAAGGCATCAAAATAGAAATCAATTACAATAAAAGCACAAAAATATTCAAACACATGGTGGCTAAATATCATGTTGTTAAACAATGAATGAGTTACCAATGAGATCAAGAAAGAAATCTAAAACTTCCTGGAAACTAATGAAAGTGAACACACAAAAACACAAAATCTATGGGACACAGTAACAGCAGTCCTGAGAAGGAAGTGCATAGCAATACAGGCCTACCTCAAGAAATAAGAAAAATTTCTAATAAACGATCTAACCCTACAACTTCAAGATTTAGAAGAGAAAAAACAAACAAACAAAAAAATCCAGAGTTATTAGAAGGAAGGAAATAATAAAGATCAGAGCAGAGCCCTGGCCGGTTTGGCTTAGCGGTTAGAGCGTCGGCCTGCGGTCCTGAGAGACCCGGGTTCGGTTCCTGCTAAGGGCGCGTACCTCGGTTGCAGTTTGTCCCCGGCCCTGGTCGGTCATGCGGGTGGCAGCCACTCGATGTGTTCCTTTCACATCGATGTCTCTCTCTCTCTCTCTGTTCCTCTCTCTCCCTCTCACTCTACCTGAACAAAAAAATGGGAAAATGTCCTCAGGTGAGGATAAATAAAAAAATAAAAATAAAAAAAAAGATCAGAGCAGAAATAAATGACATAGAGACTAAAAAAAAAAAAAAAAATACAAAAGATCAATGAAACCAAGAGATGGTTCTTTGAAAAGATAATAAACATGATCAACCATTAGCCAGACTCATCAAGAAACAAAGAGAGGACCCAAATTAATAAAATGAGAAACAAAAGAGGTGAAATAACAACTGACACCACAGAAATACAAAGGATTGTAAGAAAATATTATGAACAATTATATGCCAACAAATTCGACAACCTAGGCAAAATGGACAAATTCCTAGAATCATACAGTCTTCCAAACCTCAACTGAGAAGAGACAGAAAACCTGAACAGACCAATAACTAAAAATAGAAGCAGTAATCAATAAACTCCCAGCAAACAAAAGCCCTAGTCCAGATGGATTCACAGGGGAGTTTTGCTAAACATTCAAAGGAAAACACCTATTCTCCTCAAACTATTCCAAAAAATTCAAGAGGAAGGAAGACTTCCAAGCTCTTTTTATTAGGCCAGCATAATTCTAATCCTAAAACCACATAAAGACACTACAAAATAAGAAAATTACCGGCCAATATCCCTGATGAACATAGATGCCAAAACCCAATAAAATTTTAGCAAATTAGACCCGGCACCATATTTAAAAAATTATACACCACAACCAAGTGGTATTTATGCCAGGGATGTAAGGCTGGTACAATATTCTAAAATCAATAAATGTGATACACCACATAAACAAAATGAAAGATAAAAATCATAAGATCATATCAGTAGAAGCTAAAAAAACATTTTACAAAATCCAGCCCCCATTTTTGATAAAAACTCTGAGCTAAGTGGAATACAAGGATCATACCTCAACATTAATAAAGACCATATATGACAAACCTATAGCCAACATCATGCTCAATGGGAAGAAACTAAAAGCATCTCCATTAAGAACAGGAACAAGACAGGAAATTCCACTTTTGTCACTCTTATTCAACACAGTACTATTACTCTTAGCCACAGCAATCTGGCTAGAAGAAAAAGTAAAAGGCATTCAAATGGGAAAGGAAGAAGTGAAATGGTCATTATTCTCAGATGACATGATATTATATATAGAAAACCCTGAAGACTCCACCAAAAAACCACATGATTTAATAAATAAATTCAGCAAAGGCGCAGGACACAAAATCAACATCAGAATTGCTAGCATTTTTATACACCAATAATGAACACACAGAGAGTGAAACTAAAAAAAACAATCCCACTTACCATTGCAGCAAAAAAATTAAGATACCTAGGAATAAACTCAACCAAAGAAGTAAAGGACCTGTTCACAGAAAACTACAGGACATTGAAAAAAGATATAGAGGAAGATATATAAAAGTGGAAGCATATACCTTTTTCATGGATTGGAAGAATTAACATCATTAAAATGTCCATACTACCCAAAGCAATCTATAGATTCAATGCAATCCTCATCAAAATACCAACGACATATTTCACAGAACTAGAAAAAATATTTCAAAAGTTCATGTGGAACCATTAAAGACCCTGAATAGCTACAGCAATCTTGAAAAAGAAGGACAAAGTAGGTGAGATCACAATACCAGATTTCAGGTTATACTACAAAGCAACTGTAATCAAAACAGCCAGGTACTGGCACAAGAACAGGCATATAGACCAGTGGAACAGAACAGAGAACCCAGAAATGGACCCAAGACACTATGTTCAATTAATATTTGAAAAAGATGACAAGAGCATACAGTGGAGTAAAGGCAGCCTCTTTAATAAATGGTGCTGGAAAAATTGGACAGCTACATGCAAAAAAATGAAATTAGACCATCAACTTACACCCTACATAAGAATAAACTCAAAATGGATAAAAGACTTAAATGTGACTCACGAATCCATAAAAATGCTAGAAGAAAATGTAGGCAACAAAATCTCAGACATCATACGCAGCAGAATTTTCACTGATACGTCACCTAAGGTAACAGAAACAAAGGACAAAATGAACACATGGGACTACATCAAACTAAAAAGCTGCACAGCAAAAGAAACAACCACCAAAATGAAAAGGCAACCCACTGTATGGGAGAACATCATTGCCAATGATACATCAGATAAGGGGTTAATTTCCAAAATATAAGGAGTACTCATACAACTCCACAAAAGTAAGACAAAGAACCCAATTAAAAAATGGGAAGAGGAGCTTAATAGACACCTCTCCAAACAGAACATACAAATGGCCAAGAGACATATGAAGAAATGCTCATCATCACTAATCATCAGAGAGATGCAAATTAAAACAACTATGAGGTATCACCTCACACCTGGCAGAATGGCCGCCATCAATAAATCATCAAACAAGTGTTGGCGAGGGTGTGGAAAAAAGGGGACTCTAGTACTCTGCTGGTGGGAATGCAGACTGGTGCAGCCACTATGGAAAACAATATGGTGTTACCTCAAAAAATTAAAAATTGAACTTCCATTTGACCCAGTGATCCCACTTCTAGGAATATACCCTAAGAATCCTGAAACACCAATCAGAAAGAATACATGTACCCCCATGTTCATAGCAGCACTATTTACAATAGCTAAGATCTGGAAACAGCCCAAGTGTCCATCAGTAGACGAATGGATAAGAAAGCTATGGTACATATACACAATGGAGTACTATGCAGCTATAAGAAAGATCTCTTATCCTTTGAGATGACATGGAGGGACCTGGAAAGTAGTATCCTAAGCGAAACAAGCCAAGCAGAAAAAGACAAATACCACATGATCTCATTCATTTGTGGAATATAATAAACATAACAGTCGGAGGAATAGGGTAGACCCAGAGATGTGGAAGTAGGGTACAGACTGACAACCCTCAGAAGAGGGGGTGGTGGGGGGAAGGAAGAGATAAACCACAGAACTTATATGCATGTATGCATAACCAATGAACATGGACAACAAAGCCAGGGATGGGGTGGAGGGGATGGGGAGGAGGGTGTCAATGGGGTAAAAAGGAGAAACATCTGTAACAAAAATAAAATAAAAAATAAATAAAATAAAATGTCCATACTACCCAAAGCAATCTATAAGTTAAATGCATGCCAATTAAAATAACAATAGCATATTTCAACGATCGACAACAACTGCTCCAAAACTTTATATAGAACCAAAAAGGACCATAAATAGCCATAGCATTTTGAAAAAGAAGAACAAAGCAGGAGAGATCACAATACTGGATATCAGATTATACTACAAAGCTATTGTAGTATAATAGCCTGTTACTGGCACAAGAACGGGCAATATAGACCAATGGAACAGAACAGAGACCCCAGAAATTGACCGAAGACATTATGTTCAATTAATATTTGACAAAGGTGACAAGAGCATACAATGGAGAAAAGACAGTATCTTTAATAAATGGGTTGGGAAAATTGGACTACATGCAAAACAATAAAACTAGAACACCAACTTATACCATACACAAGAATAATAGATAAAGTGGATTAAAGACTTCAGTGTCACTCATGAAACCATAAAAATCCTAGAAAAAAAATGTAGGCAGCAGAATCTCAGATATCACACACAGCAGAATTTTCACTGATACATCACCTAGGGCAAGAGAAACAAGGGAGAAATTAATAAATGGGACTACATTAAGTTAAAAATCTTATGCACAGCAAAAGAAACCAGCCTCAAAATGAAAAAGAAACCCACTGTATGGAAGAAGATAATTGCCAATGATATATCAGATAAGGGGTAATTTCCAAAATATATAGAGTACTCATGAAACTCAACCAAAGGAAAACAAAGAATCCAAATAAAAATGGAGAGACTGCCCTGGCTGGTCTAGCTCAGTGGTTAGAGCGCTGGCCCATGGACCAAAGGGTTTGATTCCGGTCAAGGGCACATACTTTGGTTGGGGTTAAGTACTCGGCCCTGCTCATGGTTGTGCAGCAGGCAACCAATCACTGTGTCTCTCTCTCATATTGGTGTTTCTCTCCTCCCCCCATTCTGTCTGATAATAAATGGCAAAAATATCCTTGAGTGAGGATTTAAAAAAAATTGGCAGAGGACCTAAATACACACCTCTCCAAACAGGACATACAAATGGCCAAGAGAAAATGCTCTGAATGCATGAAAAAATGCTCTGAATATAATAAACGACTATGAGATATCACCTCATATCTTCCAGAATGGCTGTCATCAACAAATCATCAAACAACAAGTGCTGGCTAGGGTGTGGAGTAAAGGGGACTCTAGTACACTACTGGTGGGAATGCAGATTGCTGAAACCACTATGAAAAACAATGTGGAGTTTCCTCAACAAGTTAAAAAAGGAACTGCCATTTGACTAAGTGATTCTACTTCTAGGAATATATACTAAGAAGTCTGAAACAGCAATCACAGAATATATGCACCCCTATGTTCATAGCACCACTGTTTACAATACCTAAAATCTGGAAACAACCCAAGTGTCCATCAGTAGATGAATGGATAAAAAAGCAGTGGTACATATACACAATGGAGTACTATGCAGCTGTAAGAAAGAAAAATCTCTTATGCTTTGAGATACCATGGAAGGACCTGGAGAGTATTATGCCAAGCGAAACAAGCCAAGCAGAGAAAGACAAATATCACATGATCTCACTTATTTGTGGAATATAATGAACTAAACAAACTGCTGAACAAAATAACCCAGAGACAAAGAGGTGATACAGACTGACAAGCCTCAGAGAAGGGAGATTTGGGGGGAAAGAGATAAACACAGAACTTACATGCATGTATGCATGACCAATGAACATAGACAACAAAGCTGGGGATGGGGCAGGGAGCAAGGGAAGGAGGGTGTCAATGGGTGAAAAATGAGAAACATCTGTAACAAAAACAAATTAATAAATAAAAAATTTTAAAAAAGAAGTAACCAATGAATGCATAAATAAGTGGAACAAACAAATTGATGTTTCTCTCTCCACCCCCTCTAAAATATATAAATAAAAATTTAAAAAATTTTAAAAGTAATAAAGTTTTACCCGGCCAATACGGCTCAGTGGTTGTGCATAGACCCATGCACCGAGAGGTTGCCGGTTTGATTCCTGGTCAGGGCACATGCCCAGATTGTGGGTCAAATCCCCAGTGGGGGCATGCAGGAGACAGCCAATCGATGTTCTCTCTCATCGATGTTTCTATCTCTCCCTCTCCTTCCTCTTTCTCTAAAAAAATCGATAAAGAAAAAAAATTATAAAAAAATAAAAAGTAATAAAGTTCTAATACATGGTACAATATGGATAAACTTTGAAAATGTTATGCAAAGTGATATAAATCAGACACAAAATGACATACACTGTATGATTCTACTTAAAAGTAGACTGGTGATTACCAGGGGCTGGTGGGAAGCGGAAATGGGAATTAGTGCTTAATGGTTGCACAACTTCTCTTTCAGATGATGAAAAAAATTTTGGAAATAGATTGTAGTGATAGTGTCAATTAATTGTACACTTAAGAATCATTAAAATTACTATTTTCATGTTATATATTTTACCACAATAAAAAAAGGCAAATTTAAAAACGTGTTGAAAGTGATGAAACATGAATGTTTAGTTAGGTAGGAAATGAAGGTAAGGCAGAAGGTGGCCTACACAAAGGGAAAAAAAACAGAGAAGATAAGGGACAAGTGTATCTAACAACACACAAATTTAAGTTTGGGATGGGCAATGTACTTTACTAGGATCTGTGTGGGGATATAGAGTTAAAAAGTGGTGAAATGTTAGCTCCAGATTCAGAATGCAAAAGTTTGAATCTCAGCTCTACTACTAACCAACTCAATGAACTTGGTCAAATTACTTAACCAGTCAGTATCTTACCTTTCTCACATATAAAATGTGAATACAGTACCTACTCCATAGGAATGTTTTAAGAATCAAATAAGTTAATACAAGTAAAGCACATAGAACAGTATCTGGCACATAGTAAGCACTTCAATAAATGTATAAATGTTGGTAATTATTATTATTATTATTACTGTACAAAATAAAAAATTCAGTCCTTGAAGTCAGATGCTCTCAAACCCAAGCTTTCCCCTCTACACTAACTGTCCCTAAATACATGTTCTAACTTAAAAAATAAGACTCCAAGGCATGGTATAAAGACACAAATGCTAAAACAGAGGAGCAAATAAAAAAACTCTGGAAATGCAGAAGGAGCTATTATTTCTAACATGGGGGCAGGGAAGATAAGAGTGTCAGGGAAGACTTCAAAAAGAACCTGGCATTTTAGTTGAGCTTAAAATAATGAATTAGTTTTCCCATAGGCCGAAATGGGTTATAAAGGCACTGTAGCATGAGTGAACAGCATGAAGACATGCACAAAAGTAGGAAAAAGTACATGAAATAGTAAACAAATAGTCTAGTGTGGCTTGAATATATGTCACTTACTGGAATATATTGGGGAAAAATGGAAAGGTGCTAAAGAATGTAGAGTTTTGAAAGCCTTGCTAGGGAATTTGGTGATATTTTATAGATGGATTTCCACTGAAAGTTCCTCTTTTAAAATTGAGGACACGGTATAGGGTCAGTGGGTGCCATCAGCCCAGCTGTGCTAGAGGAAGATTATTTACAAGATGAGAAATCAACATTGATTTTTACCCCCCACCCTCCCACCTCCGGTCATAACACTTTAGGACAATGTCTTGATTAGCCCTGATACTACATGGGCTTGCCTGAATTGTTTTACCAGGAAAGGAAATGAAACAGAGATGAAGTTCTGATTTCAAGGACACCCCAGGAACAATTTGGTAAATGACTCTGTCTGCCCTGATTCCCACCCAAAAAAAAGATCATTCATTTCTTACTTTGTTACAAATACTGACACACCCCGCACTCACCCTTCTCTTCAGCTGATGGAAAAGTCTATAGCCATCAACTGATTAAGTATATGTTCCATAGGTTATTTGGGATACAGAATATCCCAAAGGGTCTGGTCCAATTGTATTGTGAAGATTCACAACTCTGAAAGCAGTACCCACAGCTGGAGTTCTGTGGATTAAAAAGCAAGTTATAAAGAACTTCTAAAATCATCTAAATTGCAACTGCATAATGCAAAAAGCCTATCTGCTTTTTTTTCCCACCCTTAATGCCCAAATGTGGCCAGTTGTCCTTCATTTTAACTCTTAGATGTATGAAATATAAGTTTGGACTTGACCTTAACAGAAATTAAAGTAGGGATAGCTGCTAAAACTAGGGGTACATGACACCTTGCTGAGATTTTTCAGTTTAGTCCTTTCCTCCAATACATAAAGTTAAGAGAGGAGGAAGTTCAATAGAAACACCAATATTTGTACACTGATCTTAATATCTATATCTCCCAATACTAGGCAGTAAAGAGGACATTAACAGCAAAAGAAGCAGAGGTTAGAAGCAGAGGTGATCCCAGATCCTATCTATACTCTGGCATTCTATACCGCAACCCCCAAGCCAGAACCAAACTTTAGTTAAGTCTAGACAGGAGGGGCAGAATTAGTATAGACAACATGGCTTCAGCTCTGTAAACTGTATACATGAACAGGTAGGATAATGGGATTAGGGAAATTAATTTCTTCCTAACCACACACTCCTAAAGGACTTTGGTGTTCTGTGATTGTCTCCCAGAGCTGAGCTCTGACCAAAGGGGATCAGTAAAAACAGGGGCTGCCACCAAGGACAGGTGCAAAGGATTGGCCAGCAAACAAAAACAAGGGTGAGAGTAAATAGTCACCAAAGCAGGACAAATGAGACTATCCATGAAGCAGTTTCTGTAGTTGTTGCCCAGAAAGACCCTCCTCTGAGCCCCAGGACTATAGGGGGAGGGATTCTCAGATGAAGCAGTAAACCTGGCACCTCTAGATGGTGAGGGCATGGTGGAACTGTTGTTTCACAGCTACACTTCCATGGCTTTGCTGAATGAGGGTGAGAACCAGGAATCATCTTGGGAGTTAAAAAGTTTAAGGTATCCTGCCCTGGCCGGTTTGGCTCAGCGGTTAGAGCATTGGCTTGCGGTTCAGAGAGACCCGGGTTCGGTTCCCGCTAAGGGCAAGTACCTCAGTTGCAGTTTGTCCCCAGCCCCGGTTGGGTTGTGTGGGTGGCAGCCACTCGATGTGTCCCTGTCACGTGGATGTTTCACTCTCTCCCGTCCTCTCTCTCCCTCCCGCTCTATCTGAACAAAAGATGAAAAAATGTCCTCGAGTGAGGATAAAAAAATAAGAAAAAGTTTAAGGTATCCTAATGAGAATCCTATGTGAAAGGCTGAGCACAGGTTCTGGGACTCAGACTGGAATGAAACCATCCGTGTTCCCTTTTCCCTGTCTGTGTCTTCACCTTTTTCCCCAGATCTGTCCAGATGTCAGTCAGTAGCAGTCATGTCTTCTCACATACAGAGTGATTCTACTCTTTGAACATAAAACTAAAGGGTCTGTCCATTTGAACTTGTTTTGTTTGTATTCCCTTACAGACACAGATAGTGCTTTTTAATATCTCTGTACTGGTTGTGCTTTATCCCTGACTAGACTTCAACTGAAGAACTAGGACAATGTTTTCACCAGTTTTAGCATGCAACTTTATTATGTAAATGAAATCTCAGTGAATACACTTATGTCAATATAAAGCACAGAAGTATAACTTAGGATGAACAGTGTCATGATCAGGTCATGTTACAAAAATAATGAAAATATCTCGATTTATATAGCACAATAAAAATCAACAAATATTTAAGCTCTCAAAATCATTTGGTATCCATAAAATTGCCTCCTTCAGTCAACACAGATAACATAAATACTGAACTTATAATATGCTTTAGTTTCATATTACAACAAAACTTGTTCAAGGCTTTGTGAGAACATTCGGCTACTCAGAGTTTGAGTATTAATCGTATAACTTTATCTCTCACCTCAGGATCATTGTGCTCTGCTAAGTCTTGGAGTTTCTGACCAAACTCTTTTGCTTCCTGAAATATGGAAATAAGTTCAGATTTAGTGAACTCTTCCTTGGTAAATAGCTTCACTTTCTTTTTGAATTGGAAATTTATATTCTCAAAAATTTCAATGATATTAAGAATATTGGCCTTTGACTCATTCTTATTAAAGGGTGCAACCAATGATGACAGTACTTTGGCACTGATCAGTTCTCTTGTATTGGCTTGATTTTTAGACAAGCGCAAAAACACTTTTAAAACATAAGACTTGGTTTTGACACTTCCCTTGTTTAACAAGGTGAGGAAATCTGGGATATAATTGGCAATCATATGATGATTCTCAAATTTCACACTCAAGTGCTCCAATAATTTTAGTTCAGCAAGTTGCACAGGGGAGTTCAAAGGATAAGAGATTATGTCCTTACAAACTTGATTTACGTATGACTCTCCTGTTTTTGGTTCTTCTGAAGACTCAGAGTTGTAATCCACTTTATGGAAAGCTCTAGGGTGTTCTTTAACATTGGGATTATTGACCAAGTTTTCAATCATAACAGTAATACCTACATCATGAACTATATCTTGGGTAAATGGATAAGCAGGACTGATACCCATTATCATCTTTGCTATTCCATGAATGAAAGGATCCTTAGTTAACTTAAGTAGGGCAACAAGTTTATCAAACTCTTTAGGCTCTAAACTGAAGACACGTGATTTGCAGCGGCAGGCTTTTGGATTGGGCCCATACTTTTCCCTGTACCTAATCTGTTCTTTGATCTCAGCTAAGGTCTGGAAGTAAGGCCCATTATACGGTGGGATCTTGGTCAGAGGCCGAATCCCCAGAGGAGTTTCAATCAAGGTCTCAATCAGAGTCCAATTCCCTTCTGGAGGTAAGGATCGCTCCCCTACCTCTACTGGAACTAGGACACTATACCTGGCCCTTGACCATGCTGCTGCTTTTTGCTTTATAGTAAGTTCAGGTTTAGGTGTGGGCTTGGGTTTTTCCTGGATCTTAGGTGGAGGTTTATAAACTTGATAAGGGGTTTCTTCTTCAGGCCAGAACCAGGAGCCTAAACTAGGTTCTTCTCCAGTCCAGAACCAAGAGCAGACATTTTCTTCATCCTCATCATTGGACTCAATTATAATACCAGCTTTGTCCCCAGCCCTGAAATTGATGCTTGCCTCTCTCCTTCTCAGAGGCCTGGATCCAATATTGGCCTTATTATCAGCCTTGGAAAAGGACCTGATACTGGCTTCACTTCCAGCATGAGCCTTGACTGCATACTTGTGCACAGCACTGACCCTGGATGTAGGCACAGTTTTTGAATTGTTTGGGGGCACAATACCAGGTTCAGCCAGGGGTTTTGCCTTAGTTTCAGCCCTGACTCCAGTCTTAATCTTGGCTTCCATCTTGCTCACTTCCTTTGCCATAGCCATGGCCTCAGTGTAGGTCACTGGCTGTGTCCTGGCCACTACTCCATTCCCAGCCTTGGCCTGGGTCACTGGTCCTGTTTTCGGCTCTGCCTCAGCCACTGTGTTGGCCTGGATCTTAGCCTTGGCTATAGTGTTGGCTGGGCCACTGATTATAGTTTTCAGGCCAGTCCCAGCCTCTCCTCTGTCCTTGCCTTGGCCTCAGAGCCAGTCATGATCCAAATTAAAGTCAAGGCCAATTTATATACCCCTACCCCTGTCACAGCCTTGACCAAAGGTCTGTCCCAAGTTGGTGTTTTCATACAAAGTCCAATAGTCATTCAGCCCCCTTTCCAACTACAGGTTCTGTCAATGATATAAACAACGTGCAGAGAAAGCTCACTCAGAAGAATGGCTGTGTGCCTGAGCGCAGTCCTGTGGAGAGTGGTGTCTTCAGTCACTCCAAGGCCACCAGATCTGCCACTGAAGTTGGACCTAGGGATGGAGAAAGGAAATGGAGCTTTGAGTCTTCCAACTGTTTCCTTCATTTTCATTAGCACAGAGAGGAGAGTATGGAAATTCAGTTCTAAACTGGAGAAGTAGATAATTAACAATCTCCCCCTTAAATTCACATTCCCTTCAACTGCAGGGGCTACTAATCTTCTTTCCAGACAAAAAATAGGAGTATGAACAGTGGTAAAGCTAGATGGGAGTGAGACTGAGCAATCCCTAGACTGGCTCTTTACCCCTGCTAGACCCAAGTAGATCTCCACTACCTCATCTTACAGGACTACTGAGGAAGTCTCCATCCACACCCATACCAATCTGTACTCCTTTCCTGGCTTCTAATGATGATATGCCCTACAGAAGATCTAGGGACAGATAAACAAACAGGAGGTTATGGAAACTGACTTCTTGGTAGACAGATCTAGGTCCCTGTTCTCTATATTTGTACTTTTTCCAGTGTTTTCCTCCTTCCAGTCCCTTCCTCCCATTGCTCTGCTTCAGAGGTGCTCCTCTTCCTCCCTGCTGCCTATCATTTCCCTCTTCAGTAACTGCCCTAGCATTTCCCTTGTTCAGAATTGGGCTGGGGTGAAGCAGACAGATCAGAAAATCAGGTGGGACATTAGAAAAGCAGACGTTACCCTTCTCTACACCAATGCTTATGAAAACTTCCAACTAAATCAGCAGTGGACCCAACAGGGGTTAGGAAACTGTCAAAACAGAAGGGATATCATTCTCTAGTCTTAATCATTCCCTGTACCTCTATCATCACAATGATCTTAACAGACACAGGACCGTTTTCTCTTCATCATTTCCTAGCTGCAAGTTGGGTTACCATTTATAAACTTTCACAACAAGTGAGAGTTCCACATACTTAGGGAACACACGGAGGTTTAAAAATGCAGATATAAACAAATACGGACACAATAGATAATGAAGACTTTTGTCCTTGGTGGAGAGAGCAGCACCGAGGACACGGATCCTTCTTGATACAGGTACCTGTTTGCCAAAATTTTCTACCCGTCTTTCTTCCTCCCCCTCTCCCAAATGCCCAATCTCCTCTGCTCCATTCCCCAAATCTGACAATTACCCTGCAGAGACAATTCATATATTCCTGCATGATAGTGATGGTGTTAATTGGGATGGAATACTCAGCCATGGAAACTGGATGGGAAATTAGTGAAAAGTATTATTTCCAAGTTTTATCTAAGTTCTCATGTTTCCTTACTCTCCCCAGATCTGGAGTTTCCCGTAGACGTCTACCTGCTCTAGTTTTAGCTATGTATCACGTTCAAAGCACTGCACATGCAACAAAAATTAGGCTAACTTTCTTTTTCTTATCCCATCCCCTTGAGGTCCTCTGCCCCTTACAGATCCTTACAGAAGCATAGGGTACTGCAAACTTATGAACAAACCTACACATATAAATGCATAGTACACATCCACAGACCGAAAGAAACGACTGTGAGAGAGACCTGGTTATTACTGGTCAGAGTAGTAACCAAGACATGGGTCCCTTTTCTAATTCAGGGACTTGATTATCAAACACTTACAACCTGTTTTTTCATTCTCTGCCTTCCAGGGCTCCAACAGCATTGGCTCTTCCTTCTATTATATAATGCACCATTTCTCCACTAGAAGTCGCTGTTACACTCCTTTCCCTTCACAAACACGGTAGGAGGTGGGGCGAGAGTATGGAAATCAAACTAGCAAGAGACATCATTTTAACTTTTTCGTCGTGTGCCACTCAACTCCGTCCCACTCTCGCCGCCCGCACCTCACGACCAGGTCCCGTATCCCACATTCACCTCTGATACCCATATCCACACTCCCAAACCGTGCCCGCCTTCTCACTAACCTGCTCTGCTCGGATCAGGGCTTGTTTTCTCATTTCCTTGCCTCAAGGAGTGCCGTGCCCTACAAAGAAAAAAAAGGGACGGACAGTCAGATGGGACAGAAGGACACGAGACAATGGCGACAATTGTATTTGGGGGCTGGCCCCGCACCTGGAACGAGATTAAAGGCCGTAATTGCCAAACACTCACTTCGAGGTATTCCCTTTTCCTTCCCGTCCCCAGAGGTCCTCAGGGACCCGCTCCTAGCGACTAAATTAACAACTACCTTTTCCTCCGCAGACTCTGCCTTGCCACGTCCCCAATACCAAAACCGACTGCGGAAGCAGCTAGCGTAGTTTTACGACTTCCGGCCTGAAGGGAGCGGACTGATACCAGGCTTTGCAGGACGCCACTTCTCTCTGTGCCGGTGACTTCCGTTCCGCCCACCCTGGCGTTGTAGCATTGGAATGGGCAGCGGCAGGATCTGGTTATAGAGGAAGTAGGGCTGGAAGGAGCTAAGTTTACATCAAAGGGTCTAGTTATTCGTTCCGCTCTTTTAGGAGCTCCCCTCAGCAAGCCTACATTTTCCCCGCTGAAATGTTCGCGGGTTTCGGGCGATGACGTCAGCGAATCAGCTCAGGCCTGAGGAGGCGGAAGGATACCAAAGTGTTGTATTTACACATTCATGTAACCAAATCCCCGTATTTACAGGTTTACATCATCGTATCCCTAGGCCTACGGAAATGGGCAGGTTGCAGGAGGGGGCGGAGATAAGAAAGTTGGGAGAGAGGCTCCAGACTGAGAGAGGAGGATAAATTCTAACCTATTTCAAAAATTATGTGTCCCTTCTATGAGAGAAACCCTTCCAGGCACTCAGTTTTCTCCACGAAATGGGGCGGGGCGTCTGGATAGCTACTTTGGTCTGATTTATCAATATCAAACACCTTAGTCTGTTCTTGTTCCTCTCCTAAGACTCTCGCCTTTATTGCCTACCAAATCTCCTGCATGGAAATAGTCAAGATAAAGGTGGGATAAAGATATAGGGGAAGCAACCCTGGCCAGTTTGGCTCAGCCGTTAGAGCGTCAGCCTGTGGTCCGGAGAGACCCAGGTTTGGTTCCCACTAAGGGCAGTACCTAGGTTGCAGTTTGTCCTTGGCCCTGGTTGGTCGTGCGGGTGGCAGCCTCTCGATGTGTCCCTTCACGTCGATGTTTCTCTCTCTCTACCCCTCTTCTGAGGATTGTCAGTCTGCACCCTACTTCTATGACTCGGTCTATTTTGTTCATCAGTTTGTTTAGTTCATTACATTCCACAAATAAGTGAGATTAAGTGATATTTGTCTTTCTCTGCTTGGCTTGTTTCGCTAAGAATAATACTCTCCAGGTCTCTCCATGTCGTCTCAAAGGATAAGAGATCTTTCTTTCTTATAGCTGCATAGTACTCCATTGTGTATATGTAGCACAGCTTTTTTATCCATTCATCTACTGATGGACAGTTGGGCTGTCTCCAGATCTTAGCTATTGTAAATAGTGCTGCTATGAACATAGGGGTACATATATTCTTCCTGATTGGTGTTTCAGGCTTCTTAGTGTATATTCCTAAAATTGGGATCATTGAGTCAAATGGTAGTTACATTTCTAATTTTTTGAGGTAATACCATAGTGTTTTCCATACTGGTTGCACAAGTCTGCATTCCCACCAGCAGTGTACTTTTCTTCACACCCTCGCCAGTGCTTGTTATTTGATGATTTGTTGATGGTGGCCATTCTGACAGGTGTGAGGTGATACCTCATTGTTGTTTTAATTTGCATCTCTCTGATGATTAGTGAGTGCTTGTTGTTTGATGATTTGTTGATGGTGGCCATTCTGACAGGTGTGAGGTGATACCTCATTGTTGTTTTAATTTGCATCTCTCTGATGATTAGTGATGTTGAGCATTTCTTCATATGTCTCTTGGCCGTTGTTTGGAGAGGTGTCTCTTTAGGTCCTCTGCCCATTTTCCAATTGGGTTCTTTGTCTTCCTTTTGTTGGGTTGTGACAGTACTCTATATATTTTGGAAATTAATCCCTTATCTGATGTATCATTGGCAATTATGCTCTCCCATATAGCAGGTTCCCTTTTTATTTTGATGGTTGTTTCTTTGGATGTGCAGAAGCTTTTTATTTTTTTATTATTTTGTTTTTGTTACAGATGTTTTTCATTTTTCGCCCATTGACACCCGCCCCCCCACCCCACCTCATCCCCAGCTTTGTTGTCTATGTTCATTGGTCATGCATATATGCATGTAAGTTCTGTGGTTTATCTCTTCCCCCCTAACTCCTCCTCCTCTGAGGGTTGTCAGTCTGTACCCCAACTCTATATCTCTGGGTTAATTTTGTTCAGCACTTTGTTTAGTTCATTATATTCCATAAATAAGTGAGATCATGTGATAGTTGTCTTTCTCTGCTTGGCTTGTTTTGCTTAGCATAATACTCTCCAGGTCTTTCCATGCCATCTCAAAGGATAAGAGATCTTTCTTTCTTACAGCTGGATAGTATTCCATTGTGTACATGTACCATTGCTTTTTTACCCACTCATCTACTGATGGACACTTGGGTTGTTTCTAGATCTTAGCTATTGTAAATACTACTGCTATGAACACAGGGTTACATATATTCTTTCTGATTGGTGTTTCAGGTTTCTTAGGGTATATTCCTAGATGTGGGATCACTGGGTCAAATGGCAGTTTAATTTTCAAACTTTTGAGGTAAAACCATAGTGTTTTCTGCAGTGGCTGCACCAGTCTGCATTCCCACCAGCAGTGTACTAGAGTCCCCTTTTCTCCAAACCTTAGCCAACACTGTTGTTTAATGATTTGTTGATGGTGGCCATTCTGCCAGGTGTGAGGTGATACCTTATAGTTGTTTTAATTTGCACCTCTCTGATGATTAGTGATATTGAGCATTTCTTCCTGTGTCTCTTGGCCATTTGTATGTCCCTTTTGGAGAGGTGTATATTTAGGTCCTCCGCCCATTTCTTAATTGGGTTCTTTGTCTTCCTTTTGTGGAGTTGTATGAACACTCTATATACTTTGGAAATTAACACCTTATCTGATGCATCATCAGCGATTATGGTCTCCCATATAGAGGGATCCCTTTCCGTTTGGATGGTTGTTTCTTTTGCTCTGCAGAAGCTTTTTAGATTGATGTAGTCCCATGAGTTCATTTTTTTTTTTCTTTGTTTCTCTTGCCTTATGTGTTGTATCAGTGAAAATTCTGCTGTGTATGATGTCTGACATTTTGTTGCCTGCATTTTCTTCTAAAATTTTTAGGGATTCATGAGTCACATTTAAGTCTTTTATGCATTTTTAGTTTATTCTCGTGTATGGTGTAAGTGGGTATTCTAGCTTCATTTTTTTGCAAGTAACTGTCCAATTTTTCCAATATCATTTATTGAAGAGACTGTCTTGACTCCACTGTACGCTCTTGCCACCCTTGTCAAATATTAATTGAGCATATTGTCTTGGGTCAATTTCTGGGTTCTCTATTCTGTTCCATTGATTTATCTGCCTGTTCTTGTGCCAGTACCAGGCTGTTTTGATTACAGTAGCTTTGTAGTATAACCTGAAATCTGGTAATGTGATCCCTCCTACTTTGCTCTTTTTGTTTTTTAAGATTGCTGTGGCTATTTGACGTCTTTTATGGTTCCATGTAAACCTTTGGACTGTTTGTTCTACTTCTGTGAAATATGTCATTGGTATTTTGATGGGGATTGCATTGAGTCTATAGATTGCTTTGGGTAATATGGACATTTTAATGATGTTAATTTTTCTAATCCATGAAGAATGTATATGCTTTCACGTTTTTATATCTTCCTCCATTTCTTTTTTCAATGACCTGTAGTTTTCTGTGAAGAGGTCCTTTACTTCTTTGGTTTAGTTTATTCCTAGGTATCTTAATTTTTTGCCACGATGGTAAATGGGATTGTTTTTTTAGTTTCTCTTTCTGTGATTTCATCATTAGTGTATAAGAATGCCATTGATTTTTTTTATGTTAATTCTGTATCCTGCGACTTTGCCAAATTCACTTATTAAGTCTAGAAGATTTTTGATGGAGTCTTTAGGGTTTTCTATGTACACTATTATGTCATCTGCAAATAATGACAGTTTCACTTCCTTCTTTCCAATTTGGATCCCCTTTATTTTTTCTTCATGTCTAGTTGCTGTGGCTAAGACTTCCAGTACTATGTTGAATAAGAGTGGTGAAAGTGGGCACCCTTGTCTTATTCCCGTTCTTAAGGGGAATGCTTTTAGTTTTTGCCTATTGAGTATGATGTTGGCTGTAGGTTTTTTATATATGGCCTTTATTGTGTTGAGATATGGTCCCTCTATTCCAAGATTGCTGAAAGTTTTTATCAGAAGTGGGTGCTGGAGTTTGTCGAATGCTTTTTCAGCATCTACTGATATGATCACATGGTTTATATATTTTCTTTTGATTATGTGGTGTATCACATTTATTGATTTGCAAATATTGTACCATCCTTCTATGCCTGGGATGAAACCTACTTGGTCATTTTAATGTATTGCTGCATTTGATTTGCTAATATTTTGTTAAGGATTTTGACATCTGTGTCAATCAGGGATATTGGTCTGTAGCTTTCTTTTTTTTTTGTAGTGTCCTTATCTGGTTTTGGAATTAGGATTGTGCTGGCCTCATAAAATGAGTTTGGAAGTGTTTCGTCTTTGTGGATATTTTGGAACAGTTTGAGGAGAATGGGTATTAGATCTTTGAATGTTCGCTAAAACTCCCCTGTGAAGCCATATGGGCCTGGACTTTTGTTTGCTGGGAGTTTCTTGATTACATCTTTAATTTCCTTTGTTGTTATTGGTCTATTCAAGTTTTCTATCTCTTTCTGGTTCAGTTTTTGGAGCTTGTGTGTTTCTAGAAATTTGTCCATTTCTCTTGGATTGTCCAATTTGTTGGCATATAATTGTTCATGGTATGTTTCGATGATCCTTTGTATTTATGTGGTCAGTTGTTACTTCTCCTCTTTCACTTCTGATTTTCTTTATTTGGTTTCTTTCTTGTTTTTTCTTGGTGAATCTGGCTAAAGGGCCATAGATCTTATTTATCTTTTCAAAGAACCAGCTTTTTGTTTCATTGATTTTTTTTAACTGATTTTTTAGTCTTCATGTCATTTATTTCTGCTCTGACGTTTACTATTTTCTTCCTCCTACTAGCTCTGTGTTTTTCTTTTTGTTCCTTTCTAGTTCTTTAAGTTGTAGGGTTAGAAAGTCAATTAGGAATTTTTCTTGTTTCTTGAGTTAGGCCTGTAGTGCTATGAACGTCCCTCTCAGGACTGCTTTTGCTGTGT